TTGTTGCACTGTATGTTAAACACTAAGCTTGAAATCTAAAACGTAAAAGATTATGGTATGAGTAAAACATAAAAAACATATCAAAGAATTTCATGTTTTTATTCTTAAAATAGAAGTTAAAATATACATACAATACCCATCATGCCAATGTACAATGCCAAAAATTTGCAAAATATTCATATACAATGTCACATTATCATAGTGCAAACTTTTATTTTTGTGAAATATACTTCCTCCATCCCTATCAGATGTTCTTGTTTCATTTTTTGTGCATCTCATAAAACACTTCTATCCCATCTCAAATGCCAAAAAAACTTTCAAAATAATTTCTTACCACAATAAATGAGAAATATAATAAATTTTAGGTACTTTAGATGTAGGTAGAAGTGCTTTATAGGATGCGCAAAAATGAAACCTGAACATCTTTCTGGGGCGGAAGTAATATTAGTTATGGGGAGATAACTAAAAGAAAAAGAAGCTTAGGCTATGAGGTGTGCTCTCTCTTCTTCCCCTTTTCCCCTTATGTCAACTTAATGTCATGTCAATTTCAATTTTCTCTTCCCTTTCCTTTTCCCTCATAAGAAAAATGCCCACCCTTCCCTTCCCCTTCAATAATTCAAATTGAACACCCCTTAAAATTAAATTAAAAGTATCTAAAATTAATTCATTATAAAATTAAGACACAATAAAAATATTGATACATAGTTTAAAAAACTTCGAAAAAAATCTAAAAATAATTCATATTTAAAAAATAAAAAAGAAACATACAAACCTAATCATATTAACTTAAATTGATACACTTAAGTTAATTTAAATTAATTAAAGCATGACATAAAATACAATTAAATAATATAAACTTAGAAAACCTGAAAATAAAAATTAAAGGGAAATAGAAAAACTGAAAAACTGAAAAAAATTTCAAAAACAAAATTTAAAAAATTAAAGCTAATTAAACACTGAAAATAAAAAATAGTAAATTTCTAAAATAGTCCTTTGTAATAAGGTGTTTTTCCAAATCACTTCTCAATAAGTTTTAATTAACTACGTTGTTCTTTATAATTGAAATTTTTTTCCGAAAATGGTTGGATTAATCACTTTCTATCTAATAGTCGCGTAACATTATTGTTTTTCTCGTGATTATGTTTACTTAATACGAGTATATAATTTAGGGAGTACTTTTATGCTCTCTACTTTGAAAATGATTAATCAAATTTATTACAGTAGCAGTTAGGCCACTTGAACTATGCATACGATGGAGACAATTGACAAAATTAGAAGGCAAAAGAAGCAATTTTGAGTAAAAAATAAAAGATTAAAATGCCAAAATTTCAAATTAAAGTTAGAACTATTCTACCAAGAAGTCTAGGTACTGAACTAAAATATCAATTTAGCCTATTTAAATTTCTTCTTACTCAAATTACAATATTGAAGATATAGCACAGAGTAGCTCAAGTTTTAATGTTGTTTTTAGTTTTACACACAATTACAAATTTAAACTTTTTTTAATTAATTTACTTCTTTGACAGGATGTCAAAGAGTATACTGTACCAAGCCTGATCAGTTCTGGTATAAAATCAAATGATATCCATTCGTATTAAAATTTCTCAATCGTGTTTAGAAAAGAAATCTCAATCATTATTCTCCTTATTAGCTAGGTTTAGGTAACTTTTTCATATGTCTACCATATAGATAGGCTAATAAAAAGGAGGTTAATTAGGTCATTTGAATGACTGAAAAGATACCGAGTACTTGGTCGTTAGTATCTTCTAACCATCAAGTTTTTCTAATGTCGAGTGTTAGAAATTTAGAACAATATACTCCCTCCGTCCCTAAATAGATTATAATTTTTTTCCATCTTCTCTCGATAACTTTTGTTTGTTTACGCAATTCCATTAACTATTTGATAAAATAAAATATTCTTGTCAGCTCTTATTTTGTAGAACTTTTGATATAGTTTTTTAATATGTAATTTTTATATCTTATTGATATACCAATTTGTAAATAAAATGATTTCAAAAAGTAGGAAATTTTACTGTGTAACCCGCAATTTGTAATCAAATTGGGGACAGAGGGAGTAGAAAATTATCATTCCATTCCAAATTGTCTGTAAGATTTCGAAGAATCTATAGAATATTATTATTTTTTTTAAAGTATTTTTTTTAAAGATCCGTAAAGAAATAAAATGTAAAAATTACATTGTTCAAAAGTATATCAAAAATTCTATAAAATAAGAAGCGAAAATTATATTTTATTTTATCAAATGATCAACCAAAATGAGTAAACAAACAATAATTATCAAGAAACCAACTTGGATGGAGGGCGTAGAAAACTTAAACTCAAGTTATTTGATTATAGGTATATAAAATTTATGTATTTAAATAGAGAAATTTACCTAAATAGGACTAAAACATAATGACTTTTCCAATATAGGACCATATATTTTTATTTTCCAATGTAGGACTTTTGGTCATTAATAAGTAGTCATTATTCAAGTAAATGTCCATCATTACTGGACATTATTCTTTCCACTAGGTCATTATTAAGTTCTACTCCGTATTTAGATAATAAAAAAGTTTAAGTCCTACATTGGAAAAGTTATTATGTTTTAATCCTATTTAGTGCAAATTTTACATTTAAATACTGGATAAAAGATTTGATGAAATAAGATGTAACATTGCTATATTATATTACTCCCTTCGTCTCTAAATAGATTGCAATTTTTTTTCTCTCTCCTCTCGATAACTTTTCTTTGTTTACGCGATTTCATTAAGTATTTGATAAAATAAAATATTTTTGTCACCTCTTGTTTTGTAGAACTTTTGACGTAGTTTTTTAATATGTAATTTTTATATCTTATTAATATACCAATTTGTAAATAAAATGATTTTAAAAAGTAGGAAATTTTACTCCGTAACCCGCAATTTGTAATTAAATTGGGGATGGAGGGAATTTTAATTATAGACGGTCTAAAATAATTAATCCTATAAACAAAATTTTGTCTAGATTTTTTTCTACCCAAGTCCTATTTAATTTTTTTTTAAAATATTTTTCTTAAATGCTTCTATCTCAACACTAGAAGACTTGCAAAAAAAGCAAAGTGAGTCATTAATAATCAAGCTAGTTTCCTTAAATGCCTTATTTTCAGCTTTGAGGTAATTAATTTTTAAAAAAGAGGTGATGTTAATTTTGGAAATAAGTAAACTCTTCATGAGTGGATAAAAAGAGGTATATTTAGGAGTCATTCAAATACTATAAAATCATACCTAACTGATGCTAATAAACTTTCAAGGTTGAGATTCTGTTTGGATCAAAGAGAACCCTTGAGTATGCCTCATCACCAGCCTATGTTTAAGAGTTTTCAGAATGTATTACACATTGATGAGAGGTGGTTCTTTATTTATGACCAAAATTTCTGAGACGTTCTTCCTGATGATGTTGACCCATATAGGACATGCAAATCAAAAAAGTTCATAACAAAAGTCATGTTCTTATGTACGGTTGAGAGACCACTTGTTGATGATAATGGAGTTGTTTTATGGGATGGTAAAGTTGGTATTTTTCATTTTCACTGGAAGTGTGAAAGCCAAAAGAAAGGCCAAGAACAAGGCTAAAGGGGTGTTGGAAGTGAAACTAATCAATAGTGTTACCAAACAAGTCACAAAAACAATGTTTATCAATAAAGTCATTCCAGCCATTCAAAAAAGTGGCCAACATATTTATCAAAGAATATTCACATTTAGCAAGATAATGTTAAGCCATACATTCAAGATCAGGTTCATACTTTGTTGCTGCAGGAAACACAAATGGTTTTTACATTACTCTAGGTAACCAACCCCCCAACTCTCCATATTTAAGTGTCCTTGATCTTGAGTTTTTCGAAGCCATCCCGTATTTAAAACAACAGTGTGCTCCAACCACTGTTATGTAAATGTTAGAGGCAGATGAAGGATCATATAATGCTCTAAGTGCAGAAACTCTAAATAAAGTTTGGTTGAGTTATCAGTAAGTCATGACTACAATCATGGAACATGAAGGCAAAGACCGTTTTAAGCTACAACATATGGGAAAAGACAAAGTAGAGAGGGCATGGACACTAGCTAAGTGCCATAACATAGACCCAAACTTAATTCTAAAGGCAGCAAGAGTACTTAGAGAAGGGAATATGACTACACATGAACACATATTTGAGTTCAACTCGGAAGAGGAAAATGAATACCTCTCTTTAGAGCTGAACTGAATAAAATGGGAGTAATAAATGGTTTTTTGGGTGGGGGAGGGGGTTTTGGTTTTTGGTAGTGGCAAGCAATGTGTTTTTACAAGTGCTTAAATTTTTTATTTTTTGGTTTCTCTTAATTGTAGGCACACTGGGATTTTTGGTGTTTGGAGTTTTTACATGCATATATGTACTCAAAACAAGGCAACTACACTACCTACTCTATATGTAATTACAATAGCCACCATAATATACTTTTGTTTAGTTAATGCCACTTCATCATTACTGAACTTTGAAGATGCACACATACACATAAGACACAGAAGAGAATACTTACAGCCAAAATGCTCATCACAGACACTTTCATTTACTTAATTGATGTATTCATAGAAAATAGCAACACAGATTAAGTACTCTGATTCACCCCTACATGGTTAAAATCTCATCATAGTACATATTCTTTTTACAGACACTTTTATTTACTTAATTGATGTCTTCACAGAAAACAGCAACATAAATTAAGAACTTAGAAACACTCCCACATGTTTAAGTGCTCATCACAGTACATATTTTTTCAGACACTTTCATTTACTTAATTGATGTCTTCATAGACAATAGAAACACAAATTAAGTATTTAGAAACACCCACACATGGTAAATTGCTCATCACAACACATATTCATTTTTCAAACCAGGAAAAGTTAATCTAGTTCTCACAGAATTTGGCCAACATAAATCAGATATGCACCATTATATAGCATGGAAACATAACCATAATACAATCACAAACACCAACAAGCAACATAGTTTTAAATTGGGTATGAACAAGTAGTCATCACGAAAATAAAGGCATGAAGAGAGAGGATGTGAAAATTAATCCCCTACTTGTACTTAAAAGCCCAAAAACAAGGGTCTAGAGTGGGAAGTAAGATATTCAGCATATCAATGTGGAGCTGAATGCGTGAGTAGATCTGTGGAAAAGCCTCAATAGTAGTGGTATCAGAACCCCTTTACCTCATCACTATCATGTTTGACAACGAAAAACCCAGCCTCCTCGGTCCTTAGAACAATAATGGACTATGGGTTAGAGGTAATGTCGATTACCTCCTTGTCTTTGACCGGGGCAACATCGGCAACATCGTCGTTATTGTCGATGACGATGACCTCGTCATCCTCCTTATCGTCAAAGATGAAGGGGTAGCCACCATCTCCAAATTGAGTTTCTAGAATACATGATTCGTAAAGGAAATCATGGAACTCCATTTAATGGGGCTCAAATCTAGGGTTATTGGAGAGGAGAGTTATCTAGGGTTCGTCGGAGGAACTAAGTAGATGTAGATCTAAGAAGAACAACTTTTTGCGATATGTAAGTACAAGAAGTTGAAAGAAGGTGAGAAGAAGTAAATGGGGAGCAGAGAGGAAGGGTCGTGGACTGTAAAGGCGTGGAGATGGACCAGAGAAATAATAAATGTGGAGAGGAAAGGTTGTGGGAATTAGGATTGGATAAGGATATTTTTGGAAGAAAGTGGGTTGAAATTGGAAATGTAAACTTTATTTCCGAACGGAAAAAAAGAGAAATGGAAACTTTATTTTCGGAGGGAGGGAGTATATAAAAAAGAAAATGACAATGAAGAACATTAACATAATCTTGGAATCGCCTCGATCCGGTCTCCACTAATTTTAGTTGATCTCGATGCATCACTAGCCAAAAACTCGTCACTGATGCTTCACACTTGCTCTATGTATGTCCTCATTAGTGATATTTCACACTTTTTCTATGTACTCATCGTCGCTGCTTCAAACTCGCTCTATGTCCTCACTAATGATCCATCAATGCATGAAATTCATCCTCGTTGTCATCAGCTTGAAGGTGTCGAGAACGTGGAGGAGATATTTAGATTGAGGAGATGAATGTGTGGAGACTGCGAATGAGACAGATCCAAGAGATGAATGTGTGGTTATAGAGTTAAGGTGCTGAGATAGATAGACTGAGGAGATAGATCAAGAGATAGATAGATAGAGAGATAGAATTGAATGGTTAATCAGTCGATTAAAAGCTTGTATAAAGGCCGCATGTCAGTTATGCCACTCAATTTTTTTGCATCGGTTGTAAGGAAAAATTGATGCAAAAATCTTGTGCATTTTATTAATTCTTGGAGTGAAGGTTTAGTATTTGTTGTTATAATTAAATAACTCATGCAATTGATCAATTGCATCATTTATTTTCTAACAACCGATGCTAAAGCTTCAGTCTGAAAATAAAAAAATACAGGGGGCTTCTGCCTCAATTCTTAGGAAACAACCGATGCAATTACCTAATTGCATTAGTTGTTCTAATAATCGATACTTTTGAGACAGTCTTTTTTCTACTTGTTTTTGTAGTAGTGTACATGCTTAGAGAGAGACCTTAAAGCCTCACCTATCTAACTCCTTGACCAAGTCTGCACAAAGAGAAAGTTATAATCAACAAAAAAGGTGGGCAATTGATGGAGCCCTGATGCATCCTAAACATAAGCGAGAGATAATCTTTTTGCATAACGAAGGGACAAATAATGGCTTAGAGGATCACCCTGGCAAAGCACCCCGCCGAGAGGGCACAACTTGCTTGATGGGGATTACCATTATATTGATAAGTACTCAATAACGAACCGTAGAATTACCAAATAAAATAAGATTAATCCACTGTCACACAAAACTCTACCTGTCCATTATCATACGCCTCAAGAACCCCAACTCTATCTTGTTATATATACCTCGCCACTGTCCAAATCAACCCATCCAAACAATTTTCTATTACGGTTTCCGTCAAAGAAAGTTGTCCGATCTCACTGCTAATTAAGAGGATTTTGTCTCAATTAAGATGACTCGAAAGAAAAGCATATAGGTGTATGAAATGGTTGCTTAAAGAACCTTCTTAACTACGGAGTACAATTTTATAGGTAATGTTGCACATAGCAATCGACTAAAGGTCAACTACTGCCTTTGGGAGCTATTTCTTCGGAACAAAAACGATTGTATGTGACACTATTTAGTTGTAAATTAAAGCACTCCAAATAACAACTAATCTATATCTACAAACCAATTCACATTCACTAAAAACAAAAATACTAAAATGGAATCTATTAAAATCAACTCTATAAAAAAACCAAAATTTAGAAATCATTCTTTATACCATAGGTCCATTATTATTATTCCTTTCTTCAAAGGGGTCATCCGCAAGGTAGGGAGGGAGGGTGAAATGGTAAAAAAAAAAGCTAAGAGGAAACCACTCCTCCACCACCACCATCATCACTCCAAAGTCGTCTAAAGCGAGAATTGAAGAGCGAGCCGTAAAAAGACTTAAATTGTGTGTGTGCGCTGCGCAGAGAGAATTGAAGAGAGAGAGAGAGAGAAAGAGTACAAAAACATAGAGAGAGAGAAAGTTGCAGAGTTGCAGCAGCTGCTTTTTTGGCCATGGCGGCGTTGCAGTCCTGTAATTCTACAACACCATAACTATTACTTCTTCTTCTTCTTCTTTTCTTCCCTGTATTGATATAATTAATGCCCACCCATCCATCCATTTATACATACATCTACTTCAACTAGATCGATCGTCTCAAGAAATTAAAGAAGAAGAAGAAGAAGAAAGAATTGAAAGAGACCCATACTATACTGAACTGGTGGGATTTCCTTTCTTCTGATTAGCAATAATCTCCGATCTCCAAAAAGTCTTTCTTCATATCTGCTTTGTCTGTCCAATAATTTAAAGAAAGCTGCAATTTTTTCATCCCTTTCTTAATTGTGTGACCATTACACCACATCAAACACAACAACCCATTCATTAATCATATCATATCATATCCCCTCACTCTACTCTTCTTATTATTGGATCCATCCCGAAGAGAGAGAGATTAATTAGACCCGTGAAGGTTTCTTTAAGTTAAAGAATATATATGGGTAAAGTTTTGGGAACGGTCATCGGAGGTGAGGAAGAAGAGGAATAGCGCCGGCGGCCGGATTATGGATTGTGGGTCTTGCCGATTCCACTCCGGGAACAAATGGCTGGCTTCTTTTCACTAGGTGGAGGAAGAGGGAGAGACGCCGGTGGTGATAACAGCAACGCCGCCGGGCAACCACAGAGCAGCGGGAATAACAACCGCCACAGCGCCGCCGCCGCCGCGCATATCAGCCCGGAGAGTTGGTTCCTGCTCCGGAATGATCAGGATATACCTCCGGCGTACAAGGGATTCGAGCTATGGCAAGATCAGCCCTCCATCCGTCACCACCAGCACCACCACCAAATCTCCCACCTCCAGGATCTGTACTCCTCCGCCGCGGCCGCCGCCGGCCTGACCCGGAACGCCGGCGGAGTACTCAACGCCTCCACCTCCGCGGTGCCCGCCGCCGAAGAGACCTCCAGATCGGCCGCGGCGCTCGTCATGATGAGCGGCTCCGGCGGGATCAGCTGCCAGGACTGCGGCAACCAGGCCAAGAAAGACTGCTCGCACATGCGCTGCCGCACTTGCTGCCGGAGCCGGGGTTTCCAGTGCAATACCCACGTGAAAAGCACGTGGGTCCCGGCGGCAAAGCGCCGGGAACGGCAGCTCCTAAACCAGCAACACCAACAGCTCTCCTCCTCCTCCACCGCCTCGCAGAGCCAGGACACCCTCCAGCTCCGCGGCGGCGGAACCAGCCGAGAAACACCCAAAAGGCATAGAGACGACCCCAACGCTTCCTCCCGTTTGCCCTCCGCCATTTCCGGTAAAACCCATCTCTCTCTTTCTCGATGTCTTTGAATTATATTTCCGGCGATCTGATTTCAATTTTTTTTGTTTTGTCTCTTGTTTGGATATATATATATATATATATATATATATATATATATATATATATATATATATATATAGGGCTAGAAATGGGGAATTTTCCGGCGAAAGTGAGCCTAAACGCGGCGTTCCACTGCGTCAGGATGAGGTCAATCGACGACTCGGAGGACCAATGCGCCTACCGGGCGGCGGTGAACATCGGGGGCCATGTTTTCAAGGGAATCCTATACGACCAAGGGCCGGAGAGCCAGTACATGGCGGCGGGGGAGAGCTCGTCTGGCGGCAGTGCGGGCGGCGGGGCCCACACTGCACAGCATAATTTGCTGTCCTCAGGTGGCGGTGGGTGCACAGCAGCCACCGCCACCTCAGGCTCCGCCAGCGGAGGAGGAGGAGGAGAGGGACAGGCAGCGCCGCTGTACGACCCGTCGCTGTTCTCCTCGTCGGCCCCACTTTGCAGCTTCATGGCTGGTACGCAATTCTTCCCACCTCCAAGATCTTGATGATGATGAATTGATGACTCTCATTGCCAATGTTCTTGCATGTTTGGTCATCATCATCCTCTATCTTACATTCTTTATTATCCCAACACATATATGTGAATTTATTGCTAGGGCTTTGGTGGTCTCTTGAGGGGTTTCTTTCAATTATATGTTTTAAATGTTACTACTTCATATTTATAGCTCAAAAATGTTATTGTTATTTTTATTTCTCTGTGATATATATACAGTTGCATATAAACTGTTATTGTACCCATTTTTTGCTGATTTTTTTTCCGGCTTTTGCTTTATTTTGTTATTCTTATGATCATTATAATAATAAAAACATGGTTTTGATCCATATGCTAGTATTAATCAATTGTTGGTTACGTTAAAGTTATACTTCAATTTACTTCAATTCCTTCTTATTGTTCGGCTTATCTCGGGAGACTATAGGGATGATTTTCATTCTTGACAAATTGGGGTCTTGGGGGAGGGGGAGAGTCTACTTATGTAAGATTGAAATGAAATGAAACCATTTTTTGAAAAAAAAAAACTTAGTTGCTTCAATTCCAATGAGTCATCCCTCCTTTGATCTTCACCCATCACTTATAGGAATCCAGGGATGAGATTTATCCATTTTTTTAAAACACATCTATTGTGAATCTTATAGAGTTTGATGAATCTAATATCTATGGTTGTGTTTGTCCATTCTCTTTTTTTTTTAATATGATTTTTAGTGCTTTAATGAAGAATAAACACAAGAGACATAAGTGAAAAGTCTCTACTTAATCATCAAAATGTGAGTGACTCAAGTTTCCTTCAAATATCTATTGTTTATTCCCTTTTTTCTTTGAGAGTTGACAATAAGAGTTCAATTAATAGTATAATGTTTTTTGAAAAGTTTAATTTAATACTCCGTACAAAAAAAATTATTTAATCTTCAATTCCACTTTCTCTTTAATTATATTGTCATTTCTCTTTCGGTTCATTCACTTCCTCTTAATGACTTGCACTTCAATAAGTATATTTACTCATTACCTTGCATTAAATAAATGTTCATCTTCAATTACAAGCATTCCCATCCTTGTTTTTTTAAATTTTTTATTCATAGATGTCCTAATCATAAATAGCAGTATATTATAAATTTTCATAGACATACGTATACGTACATGCATACATATATACTCATCTTTTTGGTCTGCAAAACATTTTTTCTCTTTATTTTCATCCGTCTTAAAAAGTCTCTTTAAAAATTCATATTAACTCATACTCCGTATTAATTGTCAACTTACATGTCACATCATACCTATTTATTACTAACATGCTTATCACATCATTTTCAATTTTATTGCACAGTAAATGTAAAAAATGAGAAGTAAAACCCAAATTACAATTACCTTAAACACTTTGTACTCTGGACTTAGAAGGGTAATTAAAGTGATCTGGTGGATTTTAAAGACATTCAGTGTCAGCCCTAGGTGTAACTAGCTAGGTTACTGCAGAAGATTGATTAATTAGCAATGAAATGTATTAGAGGGGTTTTCCAAAAAAAAAAAGAGTGTATAATTAGAGGTTTCATCATCATCAACATCATGCATCATCATACTGCAATACTGCATGCATATACATATAATGCATGCCTGATATACATGAAGGTTATTTCCCTTTCCCAATGGCCAAAAATGTACAGATTTAGGAGCTGTTTTTGAAACAGGATATGGAACATCCCATTACCTTAAATACCCTTGCAAGATAGCTGCTGTTTTTTTATCTGACCCACTGCATGTTACCCTCTGCATTTTATTTTTTTTTACTTTTTTATTTTTTTTTAAATCTTAGGGTATTATTCTCTCCATCTACATGCTCTTATTGCAGACTAACACATTTGTGCATTTAAAGAGTATATTTGCCCTATCAAGAAACTTTGGGTTTTGGGTTGCGTTTCTGGCACATTTTTTCATATCATTGGAAAGAGTTGTCCATTAATTCTCCATCTTTTATTCTAACTAATTTTCCATTTCTTGACTGCATTTTTTTCAATTGTGTTATGGTTTGTTTTTTTTTTCTTTTTCTTTTTTGCCCCAAAAATTGGGTCTGAGGATTTATTTAGCTCAATTTTTCGATTGTTCATATTTGAGTTTATGAAGAAAAAAAAGTACAGTATTTGTTTTCTTTTCCAATTTGTTCTTCACTGTTGGCTCTGGGTACAGTTATGAAGAAAAAAAAGTACAGTACTCCGTATTATTTATGGAGTGTTTTCAAAAGATTGATTTTTTGCTTTTCTAGGATAAGCAAATACGGAGTACTGTAGTGTTGTTTCAGTAAAAGTGTGAATTGCTTGTTTATTTGAGTTTAAATTTTTTTTAAATGTTTTTTAGAGTTTGCAAACCAAAATTGTTAAGTACGGAGTATTTATTACTTTCTCCGTCCTAAAACATCTTTCCCATTTTATTTTTACTATACTTGTTTTTTTAAATTTAATTTATTGAACTATACGTGTAAAAGTTTAAAATAAAAATTGTATGGAGTATTTTTTAACCTATGGCATGCAGTGTATGGAAATTGGAATGCAGTCTAATTAATGGAAATGTGAATTTAGTACGGAGTATTATGAAAGAAGTTGGGGAAATTGGGGGGCTAGCCCAAGTAATTAATGAGTGAACAATTCAACAATATATTGTCAAAATTAACTTTTAATTTTAAGATACGGAGTATGATCATAAATTTTTTTATCTTTTTATAACTGTGCCACAGAAAATGTCAATTTAAAATTTTATATCACGACCACCGTCATCGATCATTATTATTATACACATATAAGAGTACTTAATTTTTTATTGTTAGTAGCTTTGTTGCATATAATAGTGACATATTTCAATTATAAATAACTTACATCATTAACATTTTCAAATTTAATCTACCTACTAGGGAGTACTAATGTAGAAATTAGAGTATTACTATTACTCCCTATTATAGTCGTAAATCGTAGTACGTAATAATCACCAACAAGTGAATGTTTAGAAGGGAACAAATCAAAACTTAATTAATTAACCTTAATTAATTACCTCAAAAAAAAACATGTACTGTGATGAATCTTAGTATTTTCTTTGTGTTTGTGTGGGTTCAGTGCACTTGGAAAGAAGTGTTGTTTTTTTGGAGGGGGGGATGTGACTAGGTTCATCCTGCTCTAACAAAATTAGAGAACCCCAAGTCAAACCATTATGCTCACTTACATACTTATACGTCCTAATGACATGTGCGCCCCTTGAAAATATGCTCTTATATATTGGTCAAGATTTTCTTATGCAAGAAGAGATTCTAGCTATATATTACGGATGTACCTTCCCTTATTAATTCGATTTAATTTGTAGTGTAGTTATTGCTATTAATAATCCCACGCGGTTCGAGAATGTTTTTCTTACGTCGACTTGACGCGCTTATTTAGCAACATTACAAAAAGTATTGACCTTTCATGGTTGTCTCTCCTTTAAAAAGCGAAAGTTTATCTTAAAAGCACGGGAGTCAAAAGTAAAGGGTAGAAATGTCTTTTAGGTTTAAAAAGCTTACTACTTTCTCTTTTTTTTCAAACACCTTCTCTTTTATTATTTCTCTTTAATCAAAATATTTTCATTTTCTATTAAAACCACTTTTATTCATATTTTTTCTAACATTAACTAGCTATTACATCATACTTTTTTTCTAATAATCTATTTATCACGTCTTACTTTTACCTATCGCATCAAATATAAAATTGGAAGTCAATCATAATTTAACACTTCCATAATGAGGCCTTTGGTCAAAATGGGAAGGGTTTTCTGGACTTTCCCAAATAGAAGGAAAGGGCAAAAATATTTCTGGACAATACAAAAAGGAAGTGATAAGAACATGGAGAAAGTATTTATTAATTACTCCCTTGAAAATACGGAGTATCTATCTTAAATTTGTTTGGAAAAGGACTAAAACACATCTTTTTGTAAAACATATCTTAAAAAGAGATTTATTTAATTAATTAATACTAGTATTAACTGTATTATTAAGGCTTTGTTTGGGAACAGCGTTTTTTATTAGCGTTGGTCAAACCATAGTCCGTTGGTCAAACGTGTTAAAATGATTCTACAAACCGTTCACTATCTATTTTCTTCATAAATGAGTTAGGGATAGGGTCTCTTTTGAGATTAGAATTAGAGATTAGTGTTAGTATTTTGAAAAAACTATTTACGAGTAGCTTTTAGTGTTAGCATTTTCGAAGTTAATCTGCACCGTTAAAATTTTTATCCAAAATGCTGACGTTAATCAAAAATAATATTCTCAAACTGACCCTAATTTTAACCACCGGCGTTTTCATTTAATACTGGTAATTATATAGCTAGTCAACGGTTAGTGGAATCGTGTTAATTAACACGTTTGACCGGCGGCCATGGTCTTATTTGAGAAGATCATGTTTAATTAATGTTAGTATTTTAAATAATTTTTTAATGGTACAAATTAATTTTAAACCAAATGTTAATATTAAATAGTACAATTAGATAACATTTCAAAATGCTAAATCTTAATGTTAAATTTATTGCTATACAAGCACATGTTTTGTCAGTAAATTCACAATTTATTCAAGCATGGTGTGATCAAAACACACACTTACAATCCCGCTCGAGTTTGAGTTTGTCTCATATTCTTAACGAGCATATTTGAGCATAACAAAACTCGTTCAAATATCTTTTAAAATAAAAATGTTAACTTTTAACCATTAAGGACACCCAAAGATAATACTTCCTCCGTACCTAATAGAGTTCATATTTTTATTTTTTGTGCATTCCTAAATACAATCCTTTATATATTATATTTGGGAGTTTAACTCCCAGAATTTTGACATTTGTCATGCTGACGAGGATTTTTTTGACACTTCATAAGCCATGTCATCATATTGGGCTTACTTAATATTTCAAACGGGTTGGATAATGATTCATTACTTGGCTTCTTTTATTTGGGCTACTCTATGTGGAATTCATCCGCAAGTCTGAATGAAGCGAGACATCAGCGACACTTTCCTTCGATTGCACCTCCCTGCGATATTCATCTTCGAATGGCTCCACCGCGAGATTTCAGAGAATATGTGATTGGAATTAATCTCTTTCCTTCTTTACAGTCCTT